ATGTGCTGACCGTGTTCATAGTTAATGTTATTGAGTATCGGCGTTTTCTTTTTGTCATTAATGCTTATATTACTTTTAATCTTTTTTGCTTGTGGATGAGGCTTTTATGATTGTATTTTCTACTAGTATGTTTTAGATTGAGTCTGGTATGTTTTTGTGTGTGTTTAAATGAGTCCTAATTGAACTATGGTCGGATATGAGCAACGTAAGTCGTATGGATAGGCATGTAGTAGTGTGAGCGATGTAATTATTTATGAGTTTGGTTTGATCAGAAACGCAATTCCTTAAGGGGCATTTAAACTCATATATAATTTTGGTTCTTTGTAGTTTTTTATTTTGCAGGTGTGCTATTTGAAACATGTATAAAAGAGGGATTGGTGCCTAATTATACAACAAGCACACACACACACACACACACGCACACGCACACGCACGCACATATATATATTGCGTATGTGTATGTATGTGTGTATGTGTACAAATGAGTTTACTAATTCCTCGTAGTAAGACAGTATATGTATGAAAGGGGGAATATACGTACGCATATATACACGCATGCTGACAGAAACACACGAAAATGGAAACAGATCCAAGAACACACAGGGGTCATTAAAACATTAAACGATAAAATGCCGATAAGTAATTCATCATTTCTCTTGGACCAACCTCAATTGTTTTAAGACCCTTCGCGCAGAACTCTTCATTGCCAATTCAAGAAAGACATTCGGATTGCTAATACAAAAACAGAGAATGTCTCATATCGAGAATATTTAACATTGAAAAACATAAGGAAAAAATTAATTATTTTTAATATGTGGAAATCTCCGCTTTTACCTGAAGAAGGTCACGAGACCAGAAACCCATGTAGTAAAATTATGGAAAATAAGCATAATATTTTTTCTAAAAAATCCACATTACAACCAAAAACGTTTGCGGCACCTCTCTTCTCTTCTTTTTAATATACATACTTTTCTCTCGTTGGAACCACTACAACCTCTTTTTTTTTATATATATATATATATATATATATATATATATATATATATATGAATTAAAATTAATGAGATCCGAATAATTTATCTCATACAGACCTGTCTGAAGTAAATTGTTTGGGTTTCATTCATTGTAATTCACTTATATGCTCTATAATAAAAATTAGATTGAGCTCTCTTTTGTGGATCAGTTTTAATATTTTATATTAATAGGATCTACTTGAATTACTTACCACGGATTTTTTTTTACCTGGTATATATATATATATATATATATATATATATATATATATATATATATATATATATATATATATATTCGAAAGGACTCAACAAAATGAGTGCATTCCTTAAGTAGGTAATTGAGCCTTGACTTATTATTACGGTTTCACGAGGCCTACTTTGTTAAAGGTGTTATAGGATGAAAAAAGGTATACAGGTTCGATTCCTGTTGAGAGGCATATTTTTCTTTAGTAGGACATTTCGATCTAGACCGGTTGACATTAATGTTACTGTATCAGAAAACAAAATAAAAAAAAGCACGTGTATCCACTGAAAATATTGTTTATAGCAATAGGGACCACGTGTGTATCAATGCGTGCATACGCGTGTGTGTTGATGAATGTACACTTATATTCATGCGAGTGTTTCAAGTTCGTTGGCATTGAATCTGGAGACGCCATTTAAACACCTCACATGCCGATTTTCGCGCCCCCAAGGGGTGACAGAAGAGGGAGGGAAAGGACATAATTACTTGAAACTGCCGCCCACTTTGTTGACTTTTATTTATTCCGCCTTTCTTTTTCGCCATTCTGCCCATCCCGGCATTTCTCGCGAAAACTCTCCTCTCTTTCCGATCGGGATTCTTACCCACGTTGACCTTTGCCTCGTCCGTTCCGATCTCTTCTCACTTTCTTACGAACCATGGAATCACGAAAGAAAGATAAATATCCTCTCCCCTCCTCCTCTTTTTCTTTGTCCCTCTACTTTCCCTTATTCATCCACATTCTACATCTTTCCTCCCTGAATATCTACGAACGATGTATTACACCTTGCCAAACCATAGCTTCTTGTGTCCAATTGTAAATTGAAAAGCTCCCCACAGGACAGTAAACTCCAAGTAGCCTACGTGTGTTGCGTGCAGATGGCGAGCCTCGTTCTGGCTATCGACCGACAGGACTGCAAGTAGACTCCTGAGAGGGAGAAAGCGACAATCAGTGAAAGAAAGGAAAGAGTGAAAACAACATATTTACCTAGGGTTTATACAACGGGTGGGTGGCAGTGAGAGAGGGGAAAGAAAGGGTGCTGAAGTGAACCTCTGTTCACACCATTAAAGACTCAGATCAACGCTGATGCTGCTGTTACTTCTGAATGAGAAAGCTGTGACCAATAGATCAGCGTTAGAATCATTAGAAGCCATAGATATGCTTGGCTCTTGGCCGAAATAACAATACTTTTCCTCAACTCTTTAAAATGGCACCCAACGGCGTCTTATATTTCGGAGACGGTTGCTAAAGGGGTTAATACAAACACCCCCCTCTCTCTCTCCATCTCTCTCTCTCTATCTCTCCCTCTCTCTCTTTATATGTCTGTCTATCTCACACATGCTCGTATACATGCACGCACACTCGTACACATTTTTCGAGTACACCCACACGCACGTCTACCCAGAGCCAAATGCATAAATACGTATTCCCACACTGTAAAACTACACAGACACATACGAACGAACATACACGCTTCTCACTCACATACAGACAAACATATACACATGTGTAAACATACATGCACCAATATTATAAAGAGAAAATATATGGACGTAAAATGACTAGCGGAATGTAGTGAGCAGGCGAAAGAGAGAGAGAACAATTTCGAGAAAGAAAAACAGAAAGAGAAGAAAGAAAGCGTACGAGTTCCCATATTTGCAATCATAAGACTATAAACGACTTGTAAAACACACGCACACACTTTTCCGTGCAGGGAGGCTTCGAAGTTTACTGCAAGACTGGATTAGGCTTAATAAAATTAAGCTTAATGATTATCAGGCTGTCAATTGCTCTTTCTCTTTACCTCTCACACACACACACTATCTATCTATCTATCTATCTATCTATATATATATATATATATATATATATATATATATATATATATGGGAAAGCAGTATGACGAAGTCGAAAATGCTTTTCATGTGACGCGTTTTGTCCTTTAGGACTTCATCGGACTAAGTTTTTTACGTTGATGCGACTACACGTGCACACGAACGAGACACGCTGAGTATTTTAAATTTAAAGATTTTTTTTATTATTAATTTCATTAAAATCGGACAATTATTTGATTTTTACAAGAATTTCCAGATCAATGTGCACTCAACGGAAAAAAGCGAAAAAAAATCAATGTTATTTTCATGTCACCGCGATGACGTAAACAAAAGAAAACTTTAACCAAAATTTCGAACGTGTTAGAAAGGATTAAAAAATTTCAAAAAAATAATTAAAAAATACTTTGGTCTTTCATCTTAATAATAACATCAACATTTTGACGATAAAACTTTATTTTCGTTAAGTTTGTGGCCTTTTTCATTACGCTATGCTGTTTTCCCGCGAAAAAGCGGAGGTACGTATTATTAAATATCCCACACTGTGACAATAGATCTACCAAGAATGTCGACTCATATGAACCTGGACGCAAATTTACTGTGGATGATCTTGCTATTAAAGCAAAACAAAACAATATATTAAAAAAAAAATAGCCACAATTTTGATTTTAAAAATGCTACTCTGATTAAAAGAGAAAACAATTCACTAAGGCAAAAAAAAATGTTTAATCGCTAGGTCATTCCGCCTTCACGGTAAATTTGCGTCCAGGTTCATACGAGTCAGCATTCTTGGTAGATCTATAATCACAATGTGGGATATTTAATAACAAAAGTGATGGAAACACACACAAAAAGAATCTAAATGAAATCGGCTAGATTGTGTGTCCAAAACACACTAAAAAAATCATCTTTAAATTGAAAATTCACAGCGTCTCTCATTCGTGCGTTTGTGTGGACGCATAAACGTAAAAACAAAACATGAACTTAGTCTGATGAAGTTCCAAAGAACGGAACGCGTCACACGAAACCTTTTTTTTTTTCACTTTATCAGACTTCTTTACCTAATATTGTTCTTGATATATAAAACAAATGTATATATATTGTTATCACAAGTACGATGGGTAAATTGTCACTATTTTATATTTTTAATTTCGCGTTGTTTGTTTTTGATTTTGTCGACTGTACAGTAAAGTAGGGTCAGTTGGGCACCGTCTGAGAGAAAAAGAGCATCATGATGTAATTCACTCCGCCAGAAATTTGAAAACGGCATACTCTACTGCTTGGCATTCGCACCGGAAGTTCTAATACAAACATTTCAGAATGTTTGGGTGCCAATCTGAGGACAGTGCAGAGGATTAAGAAAGAGTTAGATGAGTCTAATAGTGATTACGAAGGTACGGCATCTCGGAAAACTCACTAATCGTCCTGATAAGAAAAGAACTCCTGAATTTGTTGGTGAGGGCCTCAGACAACATGGATGCCTACATCATGCCTTGAGGATGTAGTACTGCCCTGTGTCAATAGGGTGGCTGCTGGAAGACTCTATATTTGGCAACAAGATTCTGTAACATATCACACAATCAGGAGAACGCAGTCATGGCTGTCAGAAAATTTCTGCAACCATATCATCCCTCACATTTTTTAATGTCCTAAAATAAATCCCACTTTTAACTTGACCTTATGCCAGACTCTGTGCAAGTGGGCGCATGGATAAATGCCCAATACTCTCCTAGTTAATTGTATTGAACTTATATCTAAGTCAACGTTTGATGAGAAAGAGGCTTTCGTTAATCAGCCTGTAAAAGTACTTTGTTGGACGTTGGTCTTCCCTCAATCTTCACATCGTTGCAGTTCATGGGGATGAATGGGCCATTACCCTACTGCGCTGCCCCAGGGCGTGTTGATAGAGGCGTACGACACCTGGTATTTCCAAGCGGGAACCCATCTAGTTACTGACCAGATTCAACGTTACTTAACTACGGTGATCAGATGAGAACCAGTGTGTCGACGGAATATGGCCTTCAGTAAGTAAGAATCTAAAATAATTCATTTTGTGAAGCTCTTATCGCGTACTTAACACGAACGGCGAAATTTCTCTGCCAAACCTTTTCTCCAAAATCAGGGCTTGAAGGAATCCAAAACAACTTCGATCAATAATTTCCTGAAATTTGCCAACGAAAGATAAATGATTATTTCCAAAAATGTGTAGAAATTTCAGATTAAAAATTTCACGAAATGTCTGTTCGACTGAAAACAATAAGAACAAGAGTAAAATTTAAATAGTTGAATTTTGTTTTTCAGAAAATTCAAACTACCACGGTATAGAACTGTCGTCCCCGACAGTTAATGAAACAATTCGTAATTGTTATTCGTACAAGACAAGACGGAAGACAATAATCAATTTTTTGAGGGAGTCTTACCTTGGCGTGTTTTCTCAATTTATTTTTTATTTTATTTTTATTTATTTATTTTTGACGACACTGAAGGAATGACAGTGATTAGCGATTGTTTTGTATTGTCTGGTGAACAAACAAATTCACTGTCATTATTATTTTTGTAATCATTTCGCTCCAATCAAAATGAAGCCACTAAGAGACAAGGGGTTACTGAGTGTTAGAGAATATGAGAAAAAAAAAATTATTAAGGAAAGAGGACAATAAAAGAACAGGAATTAAGAAGACAGAAGATAACGATTGACATTGCATTTAAATTTTTGAAGATCAAAGTTGACTGGAAAGCAAGAAACTGGAAGAGAGCTCCACAAGTGAGAAGTGCGAGAGAAGAAACTGTTAACATAGAACTTTGGATTTTAATTTGGCCTACCACATATTAACAACAGCCTCCGTCAATTCCTACTGTAGCATTAGTAGCAGTTGATCCCAGAAATCATTCTCACCAAAGTGAGTTCAATTTCTGGTAGCCCGCCATCTTAACCTTAGGCTTATCAGTTTACACGAACCCGGATCAGGTTATGATCTGAGTAAGAAAACATGGACACCCCAAGGGTCCTACATCTTTAACCCAATACAAGGCCCAAGTTTTATTGAATGATTGATCGATTGATTGATTTGTTTTTTACGGTTTACCGACCCTTTGTAGTTTATTTAATGCCGAAACATATTTTGAACGGTAAGAATCATTTTTTGTGAGTAAATATATTTCATTAATAAAATTTAGGAGAATAACAATGATTTTTATTCCAAATACAAATCCTACTATTTAACCTATACTTGGGAGGAGAAAAGATGGAGTCATACTTTTCCCAAGGGTATTTGCGCGTAATTAAATGTAACGATTCCGAAGTAGGCTCAAGAGCCATTCAAGTTAGAGTGTTACTAAATGAGGTTATTGTAAGGGCATGGAGCAATGGAGCATGTGGAGCTTGTTATGAGGATATGTAGGATAGAACACTTCGACTTGAAGAGATTAAGATTGTAGTGATCGGGGAAACATCGTCACGGAATTCTCGGGATCTCCAGCTGAAAGTCCACGAAGAACTCAGACGAAAAATAAATATCTATCAATGTCTTTAATAAGATTCTTTAACAAAATCGAAAATATTATTGAATTACTACACGTATGTTTTCACTTACGTGCTAATACCCTTGGGAAAGATATGAGTCCCCTTCTTCTTCCCACCCAGCTATGGGTAAATAGCAAGACAGACCGGGTTCTATAGCCTTGGATGGCAACTGGTCTACCGCAGAAAGAAATGACAACCTACTGCGGGAAAAAATCTGCCTCGTCAGTCATGTATCGAAAGATACATGATCGCCTAATATCTGTCTATATTTCTGAGATGAGTTATTATATACACTGTTTACATTTTTCGGACTATCGTCCTCATCTTTTTTGCCATATTTATCACAGCGTTTCGGTCGTTGAAGAAGGCCGGTGCGTACAGCCGCCGAGACGTTGCAATAAATATGATAACAAAGATGAGGACGATAGTCCGAACAATCTAAATAGTGTATGATCGCCTAAGTGTGTACTACGCATGGCACATAAGTGACTGATTCCTTGTATATATGCCGAGTTCGAATTCCAGTCGAATCCATTACATTCACTTACGTGCTAATACCGTTGGGAAAGGTATGAATCCTCGTCTTCTCCCTCCAGCTATGGGTAAATAGCAGGAGGGACCGGGTTCTGTAGCTTTGGATGGCAACTGGTCGACCTACTGCGGGGAAAAATCTAACTCGTCAGTCATGTATCGAAAGATACATGATCGCCCAAGCGTGTATCACGCATGGCACATAACTTACTGATGTTAGATATGACATAAGGCTGCAAGAATTGAGCTCTCCTCTAGTATCGAAGACCAACTCTACTATAATAATATATAAGCTTACTAACCATTACACTAAGGAGAAGCGCTCAAAATAGAAAATGCCATGAAGTTATGTCAACATTACCCCATAAATAGATTTCCATTAAACATTACTCTATAGATTGATTTCCATTAAAAAAAAGATTTAAAAATTGTAATCTCTCCTAATAAGCTCTGGTGGGGAGATCCTTAAATTAATAAGTGAACGAGGACGTTTATTTGGCGGATGAGGACATTTATTTGATCACGTATTGGAATTAGATTTAACCGAACTGATAAACAGAACTTAATAAACATGTGTATGTGTTTGTATGTGTGTGTGTGTGTGTGTGTGTGTGTGTGTGTGTGTGTGTGTGTGTCTGTACGTTTATATATTGGATCGGATTTCCTTCATTTTTCAACCGATTTCAACAAAACTTCACAGGACTGCGTAAAATTACTTTGCAGTTGTTCTGACAGCGCCAAAACTTGGAAAAACACAATTGCTTTTGCACGAAATCAATTTGAAACCACGATTAAGAGGCATTAATGAAAAGGGGACAACTCATATCGAGTTATACTTATTATAAAAACCAGGTTGTTTGTGTGTGTGTGTTCGTTTATATATTGGATCGGATTTCCTACATTTTTCAACCGATTTCAACAAAACTTCACTTTTTTGGCAAGTAGTGTTTCTTATTGTCTTGCAAACTTTTTTCTTTATTTTTACATTCAGAATGCTTTAAAAATTCCATTTACAAGACAATTGTTTATAATAAAATTCTATTCAGTCTGTAGACTCATAACGATTGAAAACGATGTTTTTGTTTGAGATTGGGTTTGACCAATTCGTAAAAAAAAAAAACTAATTAAGACATGCGTGTCCGTCAACCTTAAACAATAATCTTTGTCAATTTTATTTTTCAGTCTTTATGATGGTCGATACTTGATCTATCTCTTACTGTTACATCCCCGGGCAACGCCGGGCTCTCCTGCTAGTACATAATAAATCCTAAGGAACCAGGAACAACCTACCTAGGTTTCACCTAAACGGTTCTTCAGGGCAATCTGACTACCAACCAATTATTACTATTACTATATATATATATATATATATATATATATATATATATATATATATATATATATATATATTGCGTTCAAATATAGATCAAAATATCTGTGAAAGTAGACGAACAATTTCCTACCCATCCGCCCCTGTCTCTTTGTAAGATGCACCCTCAGTTAGTTCTCGCAGCAGATCTTCTCTCGCAGGATAGAACATCATTATCATATTTTACATTCTGAAATGCACGCATCCGTTCTTTTAAAGACATGCCATCGTTCTTATATTTGCATAAAATGAGGAAGAAAAACAAAATTTCGTGTGTTGTACAGCCTTTCGAATGCACCTATATGCATATCGGTAAAACAATACTCTTATGAGTCCTATGCATGTGTAACGACAGACACGCATAGACACACACATAAAGAAAGAAAGAAAGAAAAAAAGAAAGAAAAGAATGAAAGAAAAGAAGAATGAAGAATTGTCTGCATTTTTAACTTGCCTGAAATTTAATAAATGGTTTCTTACGTTTTTACGAAAATACAAGTGTTTATTTCCGTTTGTGTTTTGTACTGTTTGGTTATTTATTTCTGTGCTTTGAAATATTTTTGTATGTTTCGATAGTGTCTTTGCATTTTGTGTGTGTGTGTGTTTTTAAATTAGCAATGTAAAAAATAAAAATCAGACGTCGTAAAAAATGGAATAGCTTTGAACTGTCGGGGTTCAAAATGTTTGTGGCGTTTCGTTTCCGTCATCTCCAATCGTCGACAAAAACATTTAAAGAGAAAAAAAAAAAAAAAAACCTTTGTAAGTAGAAAACTGCTTATACACAAAGAAACCTTCCCAGACCCAACTCAGCAAAAAAAAAAAAAAAAATGGACAAAAGCATTTCAGTGTCAAATATTTCACAGAATATATTTGTTTGCAAATCAACTTAACTGGTATGATCTTTTTTTGTTTGATTTAGTTACTTCAGCTTTCTTTTGACATTTAACACAAGTAAAGTGTTCAAACGTTTCTTTGCGAGCAAATATATCGATCTATACGTTTTGTTTCCGGGGATTTCTTTCTCTTTTATTTTTTTTTTTTTTTTTTGACAAAATGCTGTCTTCTTTTCCTGTTCGAATTTCTAGGTTGAGGAGTTATCATTATTTACATCCGGAGTAAGGTCCTCATCTTTGTTATTATTATCACAACGTCCCGGTCGTTGCTCTCTCCGTGATCATGTGATCATGTCAAAAATGACTTCATTTCCAATTTAATAGAAAGCACTTAGAGGAAGCAGAAAAAAAAAAAGATTTCTTCTCGTTTCTTCATTGCCTTCCATCTTCCTTCATGCTACAATGACTATAAAACTATCCAGCTCCATTTTTATTAAGAAACGAATAAAAATCTGTCTATAGATATAAGTAACACAGAGGAACTATATAAGTGTAAGTTTCGATTAACCAAGCGAAACTGACACACAACAGAAACGTCAGAAAGTCTCTCACTTCTCTATCGTTTTTTCCATGGAAAGTGCTTCCCCGTCTGCTCACAACAATCTTATGCATTTCGAACTATTTTTTTAATCATTCTATCCCAAGCAAGGCGGGAAAACTACTGGCACGCAGCTGGGGAAGGGGGGGATTACAGAGAGTGAAGG